AAGCTCAGGAAACACATTCCACTTGTTGGAGGGCTGGCAGAAGTTGGACAAGTGAATCCTCCCGAGTTGGTGAGAGGAGTCTGTGCCTAGCTCAGTGTACAGGCCTGACTGAGTCTGCAGCACGACCTGCAAGCATACTGTCCTCTACCTCCCAGTGAGCTTTCAGAAGCTCCATTCCCCAGGCTTGGAGAAGGAAGACAAAACTCTGTTTCAAGTACTTGTACTTGATTTTGGCACTGCTGCTCACAGAGAGGAGCACTTCCAAAAGCTTGCCCAGCTTTGCTATGCTTTGAGCATCCTCTGCCTGTTGAGGTTGGAGGTGCTTGTACCTGTACAGGTTGAAGCTTTCCTTCACACCCATCTGCCTGCAATAGGAATGCATGGCAGTGTCCAAAGCCTCCTGGGAGACCTCTGGGAAGGGTGTCCTTTTAGGTGCTTGGTTGCCACCCCTTTTCCTTTTTGTTACAGCTTTTCATGAGAACCATTGCTTGGTGCCCTTTTGCAGGACACAGCAAAGCCCTTGTGCAGGGCCACAAGGCACAAGTTTGAGGTCAGAGCCAACATGGGCCTGCATACATGGCCAATTTGGAACATGCTGTGAGGTGGCTGGTTCAATGTCTTCAGAAGAGCTTCCAACACCTTGCTAACAGCCTTTTCTTAAGCTGTGCGTTCTCCAAGGGTTCCCTTTTTCAGGGCCAATGGATCCCTTTTGCAGGGACCAAGGCGTGTAGGGCCATGCAGGTGTGGCTCATTCAGGCCTCTTCAGAATGGGGTTCCAGTAGTGCCAGCCACCATTTTGGCAGTAGCTGTCCCTCCATGAGCCGCCACATATGTAGCAGTTCAAGGTCCAGTTTTCCACCCCATTCAGCTTCCTGCTCCAGATCCACCCTTTGTTGCAAGTGGAGCACTGGATGTAACACCAATGCTTGTTGCATCCTGGTCTGGAAATGCCCTTGATCAAGTCCTGGTCTAAACAATCCAGGACATCCATCTCCACAGGCTCTGCCATGGTGAGCCCTTTTGCAGGGCCCTGCCTGATGAGCCCTTTTGCAGGACCCTGCCTGCTATGATGAGTCCTTTTGCAGGACACAACCCTTTGAATGAGTTTGAGACCCTCCAGGATCATGACGAAACTTGCTGAGAAACAAATCAAGAACATGAACTTTGGATGTTCAAAGCCAAAAACCTTCTGTTGTGGGTGCTGAAGACCAATAAACCTGATTAGCTACCTGGTTGACTTGACTCAAAACTAGGAGCCTGATGTTTTGGGTGTTGAAAACTGAAAATATATGTAATTGCTCAAAACTAGGAACTCTTTTGCTCTTGATTGCAAACCAATAAATTTTGTTGTTTTACATCAAGAATGTGTGTTGAAAAATACAATAACTTTTGACTTTTCAAACCAACAGCTCTTGTTGGTTTATTTCAACAAAACATACTGTACATTTCAACATAGAGCCTCTAAACCAATAGATGTGTTGAATCTTTTCAATAACGCGCACTCTGGGCAGGTTGGTCTCGAGGCGTGTAGCATGTCTCTGCAAACCCGGCCGCCAGAAATGGCCTCTTCGCCGGTGAAGGGGCTGGAGACCTCGCCGGTGAAGGGGCGTCGTCGAGGATCAACCATTTGCATTGGGAGATGTTGGGATCCAAAGGGGGTTGAACGTGGCTTATTTTAACTTATATACTTTATGTTAGTTTATGTGTTTTTTTCTTTTAGAATGTTGTTTAGTTCTAATATACGCATACTTATAATACAACAGATTGAACATATTACACATTAAACTATACTAAAATAAGGTCTCCACACAAAAAATCCAGCATGGACGATCTCGTGATCTCGACGGCTTTGGGGCAAGGTTGTTCTAACCAGTGTGGCCCGCTTGGCCATCGATGACATGGCACTACCAACCTGGCGTCTTTCTCTAGAAGCTAAGTCGGCAACCAGCAAAAGCAAAACTGTCTATGGATCTGCAAAATGATAATGATGTTCACCCAGCAAGTTGCGGCTTCTCTTCCACCCCACTCAAGTGAAGGGGGGGGCGAAAGAAAAGGCACAAATGACACCAAGGCCAAGTGAATAATGCTACGTGCTTGCATTGCACAAGCTCCCAACGTGTTGACGTGCTTTTCATTTGTTATAATTACCATGACCGGCACTTCGCAACAAAAGTCGTAGCCATGCAAGTTGGCAACTGCCTTACGGAGGCATCTACACTTTAAACTGTATCGTTCTGTATCCCTGCTTCTCGTCCTAAAATCAGGGCTAACTTCTTGCGTGGCCACTGAGCCGTGTCTTGCAAAATGGCGAGCAAACGCAGGATCAAATGTATCAAAATCCTGGCAAAACTATACAGTTTTAAGATCATTGCCACCTATCCAAACAGCATAAATACATGCATATACATTGGGGGGGCTATATGGGGAGTTCTCTAGACATCTCTATAGACATTAGTCGAGGAATACATGCCTACATTGACCAGCATCTAGATATGGCAGAGTCTGCAAATATATGATCAAACTGATGCCCAAATGCGCTTAAGAAGAATATGTCGTACCTGTACCGTTTTGTTGGATTTGTATCAATGCTCTCAGGATCCCCCAGGGAAACCTATGCTTAAAACATAGAAAGTGAGTGCTGACCTTTTGACACTTCTCTCAAACAAACTGTGCAAAATTAGATGCTAGTAGCAGCTGTAACTTACACATGAAAGCACAATCGTTGAGAAAAATGAGAAAGTGGTGTGATGTGCGTGGGTGTGTGGCTTTGTTTCAAAGTGCGGGGGCACTGCCCTGCACCGGCTCTTATCATTTTTTTCGTTCATAAGCCGTCTCTTGGTCAACAATCGACCGCACTCCTCGGGTGCACAGTACTTAGCAAACTTCGGCCAGTGCTGGCACTCCGTTGCTGCGAATATCACGGAGAGGGTTAGTTGAATTCAGCTCCACCCCCCGGGCTTCAAAAAATTGCCGAGCAATTATTTCTCCAATTCTTTCGTCTTCTTTCGCCTCTTCACATTGGATCGAAGATCACAGCTCCGGCAAATCTCCTTGTAACGCGGCTCCCCCACAGCCCGGAGCAGGTCAGCTCGGTTGGCGTCATTGAGACGGAGACGCTCTGCCATCATGGTCCGGAGCACCTGTTCCAGGCAAAAGCTATGATCTTGACTCTCGCTCACTTTCGCAGCCGCCTTGAAGACCTGGGCAGGGTGAGGATGAACAATCATTGCTTCAGGTCTCATAGCGAAACAAGTCGGGAAAAAGGTTGCTGGATGGAAACTTAATCATAGTCCAAGAGTGGCCAATGGAGTCCATGACAGGTTCATGTTTTTCTTTGTACTCTCCAAGGGTGCCCTCCATCTCCATCCTGGCGCACACACACACACACATGACCTTGCTTCTATATATACCAGACCTGCCCGTAGTGCATGTTCTGCGGCTGAAGGTGGTGCTCTTTCATGCCCCGCAAAAGCCTCATGCAGGCAGTTACGTTTCCCTTGCTGCCATAGGCATCAAGGAGTGTGCCATAGATCCGTTCGGTGGGTTCCAGCCTGACAAGGCATGGGTGATTGGGCTTGCATGGCATGGTGTAATGATTCTGCAAGCATGAAAAGTCGAAGGGACTACTACTGTACTGTATTGGTATCTGGATGTATCTATCTGGTATGTACATCACCGAAAGTAATCGAAGTAATGACGTGCTTTTAGTATCGCCTAGTCTGGCTGATATTGCTCATAATCATGGTGAACTGAGTGATTCAACCGAACCGGCCTTCGGCTCACCATTTTTCTCACATGCCTTTCTGCTTTCCAAACGCCTTCTGCGCGGACGCTGGCTTGCAAGAGCTGCTCAAAATGAACCTTGTCAACAACGAAGCCCTCCTCATCCATATGGCGCAATACCCTCTCAGCGGCGGAAATGTTTTTCTTTTTGATTGCCGCATGAAACAGGTGGTCTAACCTCTTCTGACTTGGCCTCAAAAGTAGGAAATAGTGCTCCACTGTACTAAAAAAGCCGCATTTTGAAAGCTCCTCCACCGCGAAGTCTAGCAGTCTGGCTTTGGTCATGCCCTCTGAATTTCCCCGCGACAGAACTTCTTCAATGCCGTCTGTGCGCCCTAGTCTTGCTTCCCCTCGCATGGCGTATTCAAACGCTAAGTCTTTGGACCTTCCGTGTTGGTCAAGGTAGCTCTCAAGCACCGTAGGCGCAAAGCCCTTCAATTGACCTTTTGACCTGATCAGGTCGCACATGGCGAGCATCGAGACACATGTCTTTATCTACATTAGTTTCTGGGGTGCCCAATGGATGATGGCATAATGGATTAAAAGTTTAAAACTTTGAAAATCTTCTGAAGCAAATCCGAGCTGGCATCAACTCCAATCGCATGAGCAAGTGCTGTGGGTCATGGCCTGTACTGAAAGACTTTGTCTCCTCAAACTTTAGCCTTCTCTCCAGCCTGTGTTGAGCTCTTACTTGTTGATTGTTTCTGGATCTCTGTAGCACCTTCATACTTGTCCGCAGGCCGGCGCCACGTGAGTGCCGCTGGCATGATTCAGCAAAGCAGCTGAGAAGCAGCATCTGCGAAGATAATGTTGATACCAAGCAGCACAACACCAGGCATACTGCAGGCTTTGCTCTGCAGTTGGTGCTGATGATTTGTCTCGGTTGTTCATTGGATTTTGCCATGGCTAAAAGGCCAGTCAACACAATCTTATCAGTCTCCACATGTAAATTGGCATCGCAGAAGATGAGCAATAACTGAGCCAAGTGCGGTCGCAAAATGTGAGACTGAAAGTCTGAGAGTGGGCCGCGTGTCACAATTTTTTGGAAACGGGCCTGCATCAGCCTTGCAATGCCTTGCATCCTGAAACATCCTGAAACTATTCTAAATACAGCCACCTAAAACAACAGCCGTCACTCCTGATTCACCTGTCATGAAACATTGAAACATGTCTCACATCTCACCGTCCGAACATTGCTCCAACTGCCACTGAGGTGCCGAAAGTCGGTTCAGTGAGAAGTCCGACGTCCTCGACGAGCCTGAGATCGGGTGTTGGGACGAGCCTCGACAAGCGGACCAGCCGCAGGGACTCCCGTAGGGACCGGCGGACATGGTCCAAACGGCCTAATGGCAATGGCCTCCACTCCACGTAAGAGCGATGGCCTCCAACCTAGTAGCGGTGGCCGTCCGGTGCATGTCACATCCATCACATCCCAGTCCAGTCCAAGAAGCGGTTTGACCCTGGACGCGAGTCATGTTCCAAGGCCAAAAGAAGCTGCCTCGACAAAGCATTTGGATCCGCGATGTGTGGTGCAAATGGTGACAAGTGCTCATCAAACTCAAACCATCTCAGCAAACAAAAACCAATGGCATCAAGCTGTGCATTGCTCGATGTTTTGAGGTCCTGCCTGTGGAAGTCCTCCTGACGTGGTATGTCCGGAAGTGTGGCACTAAAGCGCTGCTGGGCCTGAACAACTCGTGCGGGGAGTTTACTGAACCAAAGGCCAAAGGAAAGGAAACAAAGTCAAGCATGTCCAACACTTGGTCACTTACAGCGACTTCCTCAGTCAGTGTCACTACGACATATAGACGTCAACCTTGCTCGAAAAAATGGTAATTAGGGAAACTATCCCTAACGACTGGTTGCTGCATTTGTACCCGGATAAGCCTGGCCATATGGTCTAGTACAGTTTAGTAGGTGCTTTTGGTCGCAGAACTCTTGAGACCAGGCCACCGAAAGCTTCAGTTGGATGGCTGGGTACATAAATCTGACACAAATATACAAAGAGAAAAGAGTTCCGCCAGAATTGGCCATCTCCACCCATGTCTACATGGTCTATCGGACATATCGGAATCATGTCCATATGTTTCAATGGTGATCGGAAAAGGACTCAATGGGAAATCTCCTCTCCACCCTTCTGACCCTTCGCTGATCCTGCAGTAGGTTGGCCAGCTGGTTCGCCATCACCGCCACCGCGCCGTTTCCTCAAGGCATCGGCATTGGGAAAATGCAACAAACATCGGAGGATCGCAAAAAAACACCCGGAGGAAAGTCGCCATGTTTTTGACACATTCCGGCGAATTTTAGAGCTCATTGTTCCTTACATGGAACAGTGGCAAATACTGGCAAGCAGGTACGTTCTGATAGACCAAGTCAAGTGTAACGTAAAGGCCTGATATGTCTAAAAGCGGTTTTTACATGTTTTTTGCATCTAGCTCAGGCTAGCATAGCACCAATGTCTGGACCATCAGTATGTACGTAATCTTCTTGAGGTCTGCTGGGGCTTCTTCAGAACCGCCCCAGTCCATGACCGTGCCAAGTGTGCCAGGTGTGTGGGTGGGATTGCCCCATGCACCGGTGTCCGGCCCTGTCTAATCATATTCATTCAAAATGGATTTGCCAGCTGGCACAGGTGCCGTGCGCTCTGCTTGCTCCCAGCTTTGCCAAGAATTTATCCGTGGGATGAATCTCCATGTCCGTTTTCTCTCGAGTTTTCACCAGCCAAGCTACTGTGGTGGTGCCGATGACCATAAACCATGGGCGGAGGCGTTTCATCACCCTCTGAGCGCGGAGTGATGAGTCCCATTGACTTGTCCTCAGCGGACCCGACCCGAATCTCTGAGACACCCCAGGGTGCAAGCAGCCTAGTGTATTTTGGATCACTTGAAAGTAGCTGGACTACACTATAGTAAAAAAAGTAGACCCAAGCGTCGGAGATGGTCGTCGCAGACTTGATGGATCTCTCAGTGTTTTCTCGGAGGGGTCGATCTTCCGGGGTCGAGCTCCGCGCGTGGAGCATGGACAAATCACCGTGCTCCTCGCGGTGGAGCTGCCGCCCTCGCGTTGACGTGGTGATGGGCAGCGTGGGAATCGGCGGCCGGGCCTGGGAATCAAGCTCAACGGAGTGATGAGGGCTACTTGGGAGGAGGATCCAGCTTTGATTTGCTTGCTTTGCCTGCGGCCACAAATTGTTTCGCACCAAAGATTGCAACTACATGGTGTTGGGGACCGGGGTTGAACATGGTTGGGCATGCAGCAAGGTGTTTTTTTTAAACATCTATATGTAGTCTAGTGACTATAAATGTGATTATATATAGTAGCTGGTCGAAGTGCTGAGGTCGGTCGGTCACTCATTGATTCATTTTCTGACATGGTCATTGGAACAAGAAATGTCCTCCATCATTCTTCCTTACCCTTGTCGAAACCACGACGCCTACCCTCCTCCCTCCTCCGCTTCTCGTGCCTCAGGCGCCTCCAGCGCCTCCGGCGCCGGCGCTTGCTCGCCCTGCGCGGCGGCGCGCACCGCCTCCTCTGAGACGCTCGCGAGTCGAGGCTGGCAGCCTGGCGGATGGATGGAGAACAATGAGAACACAACTGATTATTGACTCAGCTAGATATCAAATAGCAAACACCAAATACATGAAATAAATGATGCATCATTCCGCGGCAAGAACACATCATCTTTGTCAAACAACTGGCCAAGGCAAACAATGTAAAGTCATGCGTCCTTTCGTGTCATTCCGCGCACGCACCTCCTCTGAGACATCGAGGCTGTGCAATCATGTTTCGTGTCATTTCTTTTCGACCGAACCGAGGCGACCGAGGCCCAGGCATTGGGTTGTTCCACCGTCGATGTCTGGTGAACACACCTGGGCGGCGGTCCTTTGTTCCGCAGAATGCGCCCCCCGAAATCTTGGTTTAGCAAAATCATCCCTCACCAATGCCTCCTGGCCGGTTCAAAGGCCTTCTGGACCTTGACTTTGTTTGCCGCGATGTTATTATATATATGTTTGATAATTTTTGGCTGGGTCAGGCTTTCTGGTATTTGTGGCACCTCGTTTTGCTGCAGTCCAACGTGGTCCGCAAACGATATACAGTATTCAGGTTTCAGCATCAACTGCTCCAGTTCCACAATCAGTTTGAATTACTGTGCCTCGTGAAGGTTAAATAAGGTAAATATTTATCTGAATTGATCTGAATACATACGGCACACCGTCTGCGTCTCTGAGATTGCAGGACCACTGGACCATACTGGACCACTGGTATCGACAAGGTCTCTAAAGCGAGGCGAGACAAAAACAACGGCCTTGCACTCGTGTGCTGTCGGTGTGCAACACTAGAGTGCAATGGAAACTCACGAATGAGTTTGCTCATAGCAATGAGCCGACGCTGATGCATGGACATGGCAGCAGTCTACACCAAAAACCATGGGGCACCAGCTCTGTGGAGATTCATGACGACACCTGTGGGGCTTTTGGCCCTGGACGGACATGGACCGAAAAGTTTCAACGGAAACCTGTAGGGAAAACAAGCGAACCGTTTCTTCCCACATTTGCATGCATTCAACTGGAAGCGCCCGTGTTCGGCCACAGGTGAAATCCACATCTCACCTGATCAAGTGAACAAAACTTCACGAGCTAACTTCCCGAACAATGGGCCAGCTGCCTCGTCACATACCAAATGGATGAAATCCGGTCATGCTTGACTCATGATGCCTCTTCCTCCTGTTACCCTACTTAGAACTAGAAGTAAAGCAAAACAAGAGGGGTACGGAAACGAGCCTCTCGAACAAGCTAACAACCCTGAAGAAACACCTAACAAACGAAGAAGCCGTCAGAAGGAAAGAGGGGAGGGGTTGGGGGTGGGGGTTCATTCTCCGTACGCCCGGCGGCAATATGGTTCAGTTGATTCATTGGGTGAAAAACAATTCAGTTAAACCATAGTCCCAGAACTCAAAAAAACGCTAAGTCGATATGTGACTCACGAAGGCTTCAGCACCTCTCTTGCGAGAGGATCACACTGTGCACCCCAGTGGGAAAACACAGCGATACACACTTAGTCACAGGTTCATCCAATGTCAGAATCGACAGGGAAAGGAACGAGGGAACAGCAAGGTGAAGGGGTCAGCGTACTTGAAATGTTGAACAATGTTCAGAAGCTAGTTACTGAATACTGAGCACTCTAGTTACTGATTACTTAGCGGTTCTTAATTACGTGCGATAGTTAGGGAGCGGGCCTTTAGTCTTAAGCCGCCCGGGTAGATTAGACTAGAACAGGGTCAGCAGAAGGAAAGGCACCGACACACAAGTGTGTCGAGTACCATTTCCTTCTGTTGCCCTAATTAGATCAGCAGGTACCGTTTGCAGCCCTCACCAGTGGCCTCTTCGGTGGCCATCCACCACTGGTGAGAGGGATGGCCCCC